GACACAACATCTTTGTTTGTATGTGGTGCTGAGGATCGAACCCCGGCCGCACGCATGCCAGGCGAGCGCGCTACCGCTTGAGCCACATCCCCAGCCCAGAAGTAAGGACTGTTGCGAGGAAGTTTGATCACTGGGGTCATTCCCTTGAAGGGGATATTGGGACACACATACCCCAACCCCTTCCTCTCTCTCTTTTTTTTTCACTTTCAGCCATGAGGTAAGGGCTTTCTCTGCCAAGCACTCTAACCATGATGTACAGCCTTACCATGGCCCAAAAGCAACAGGCCAACTAACCATGAACTAAGACTTGAAAAATTATGAGTCAGAATAAACCTTCCTCTTTTTAAATTGATTACCTCAGGTATTTTGTCACAGTAATGAAAAGCTGACTACACATTTAGCATGTTTTTTAAAAGGCTTACTTACAAAGCCTTTCTTCTTACTTACAAATGAGGTTAATAAAGACTATTTTGTACCAGTGTTGTGTGGATTAAAAGGAAAAATTATAAAGAACTTAATATGAGTACCTGACACCCAGTAGACACTCAAAAAGGTAGCAACATTCATTCTACACAGGAATGAACTAATTAAAAGATTCCACATGGAGAGCCAGGGCAGACTGAGTGCTGGAATATGACATGATGAAAGTTCCATTTTTAGAAGGTGACTCGGGTGGCAAGAGGAGAATGACCAGGAGTCCAATTAGAAAGCCATTTTGACCAATTCCTTAGCGGGTAATGATAAGGGTCTTACATCTGATAGTAAAGGGAGTAGACAAAAAGGGGATAGGAGAGCCGGGCACAGTCACACACACCTCTAATCCCAGCTATTTGGAAGGCTGAGGCACAAGTTCAAGGCCAGCCTGGGCAAATTAGTGAGATTCTGTCTCAAAAGAAAATAAAAAGGGGACTGGGGTTGTGGCTCAGTGGTAGAGCACTCGCCCCTGCATTTGATCCTCAGCACCTTATAAAAAAAAATACATAAATAAAAGGAAATAAAAAGGGCTGGGAGTATAATTCAGTGGTACAGTGCTTGTCTAGAATGTATGAGACCCTGGGTCCCACCCCCAATAAATACCACAAAGAAGGAGGAGGAAGAGGAGAAGAAGAAATGGGAGAGATTTTTCAAAAACAAACAAAAAGAAGTAGCACCTCAGACAGATGGCTATAGCAAACAAACTGAACAGTGGACATAAGTCCAAAGGCCTGGGTCAGACTCCCAGCCCTGCTATGAACTAGCTGAGTGACTGGAAGGAAATACCTTCTCTGCAGCTTTACCCACTTAGAGTGTTGCCTCCGAATGTTTTCTGAAAGTCTCTTAAGAGCTATGCTTGGGCTGGGGCTGGGGCTGAGTAGCAGCACTCCCCTAACATGTATGAGGCACTGGGTTCGATCCTCCACACCCCATAAAGATAAATAAATAAAGGCACTGTGTCTATCTACAAATAAAAAATATTGAGAGAGAGAGAGAGAGAGAGAGAGAGAGAGATGTTTATGTGAGTTGTATTCATCAGGAGCATCCAGAGAGAGATGATAGGAAACTTAGGAAAATCAGTGTCTCCTACCACAGAGAACAGAGAAGGAGTGAGTTTGAAGAAGGAGGCATGGTCAACATTGGCAGAGGGGGCAAAGAGGTCAGGAAGAAAAGGACCTTACAGTTCAGGGCTGCAGCTCTGGCACGAATGCTGGGTGGCCATGCCCTGCTCTAATGTGGCTGGCCTGATGGGGTCAGAATATTTCATAAAGAGGAGCTCGATGACTTTCCCACTCCAAACAGCCATGAAGGGGGTGGGCCAAGTAGGGCCTCACCTGGATGTCCACTCAGAAATAGGCCTCCAAAAACCTGGGAAGAAACACCAGACTCCAACTCCACTCTTCACATGGACCCCTAAAGGGTTGGACTAAGCTGGAGTGAGGACTGAGGACTGGATGTGACCCCTGAAGCCCAAGACCAGGCTGTTATCTAGCATCGTGCACTCTGTGTGGCATTACTATTTCTACTTCCCAGATGTTAAGGAAATCCTGTTCAGGCATCTCCTGTGCCAGCCTCTTCTCAGATTGTGTGCAATATGTATAAAGGATTTCAGGAAAGCAATAGTGGTCACACCAGTATGTGATCCCCAACAAGGACAGGGGGAACTGGGAGGAAAAAGAGCAGACACTCTCATGTCCAGACTCCGTTACCCATGTGGACAGTCTTCCTCCTGCACCAACCTCAAGTCACTTATGTTTAATTTTATTTAAGAAGATGAGCTCTCTTATCCCAAGGTATCTGAATAATCAGGAGTCAAATTATGACCACCAAGTAGGATACAATGTCCACATTTTATCATTAACTGGATGTGATGGCACACACCTGTAATACCAGCTGAGGCAGGGGGATAGCAAGTTGGAGGTCAGCCTGGGAAACTTAGCAAGACCCTGTCTCAAAATAAAATTAAAAGGGCTTGGGCTGGGGTTGTGGCTCAGTGGTAGAGCTCTTGCCTAGCATGTGTGAAGCACTGGGTTCAATTCTCAGCACCATATATAAACAAATAAATAAATAAAGGTTCCTCAAAAACCAGTAAAACATTTTTAAAAAAGGGCTTTGGTGTGGCTCAGTGGTAGAGCACCTCTGGATTCAATCCCCCCCTCCACCCCATCCACACACACACACAAAAGTACACGCCTGAAATCATGTTTAGAATGTTTTAAGTCAGGGACTGGGGGTATAACTCAATGATAGAATATTCGTCTAACATGCACAGTTCCCTGGGTTTGATCTCTTGCACAGAAAAAAAAAAAAGATTATAAATCAATTTATACTAACTTTTCAGAAATTCGGTTAACTATATAAAAGCAAGCTACGGTTTCCTATTCATTCTTATTTGCTCTACACTCATTTCTACAGGAAACTGCTGGTAGGCTCACTCATACTATTTGGTTTTACAGAATTATGTGAATAAAGTCATCTCACACTGTCGACTGTGCTTGCTGAAGTCTTTTCTTGTGTGGAGGGTAGAGGGTGGAGTGTGGAGAGGGGAAGGTGAGGGAAACCTCTGCCAGGGCATAGGCCATTCATTCTCAGCACATTCCTGATGACCTGATAACGGGAAAGAGGAGCTTCAAGATGGAAACTGAAACTGAAGAGGGATTTTCCACCCCCCGGGAATGTAGACTATAAACAGTTTTTGAGTCATCTGACTGGGGTAAGACCCCAGGAGCCACTAGAGAAGCCTGCGGTAGAGACAGAGGGGCAGTGTGAACTAGGTTCTGTGGAGGACGGAAACCTAGCAGGGAGGTTGAGATGCAGGTGGTCTGGGCCCCCCAATCTGAGAGCTACTCCTGAGGATAGAGGATGCTAAAGAAGAAAGAACTCTGAAGTGGTGATGTTGACAGTAGGAATCAAAAGTAGGGAAACCCTCTAGGGAAAGGGAACGGAAAGGGAAAGGGCTCCATTGCTGCCCTTCTGAACACTCCCTGGTCAAATTAACCCTCACAGACACTGAACTTTGTTTTCCATGAAGCATCTGAGCCAAGCAGATCTCCTGTCCTCTTCCACCCTCACTTCCTTCCCCTTCTGTTCCATTTCTTTCCTTTTTGAACCCCTGCTGGGACATCCCATCAGTCCAATTGCATGGCCTCCTAAGCCTCCTTGCCTCTGCTCTGGCCCAAATGCTTCTCCAAATTCAGCACAAGAAAGCAGGATCAAGGATGGTCTACATCCTGAGAGGTCACTGTCAGTCTCTAAGATCCCAGTGGAAAAGGTGCGCTTGAGCTTCCCATGACAGCCACCTTGAGCAAACCCAGATCCGGGGCTCTTGGCCTCCCTTCCCATATAGGAACAAGGGTGGGGAGTTGGGGAGAACTCAGCCAATAGGCCTGAAGAAGGAACTTTCTCCCAAAGCTCCAAAATCCAAACCACAATCACCTCAGAACGTCATCCACCCTCCCAATCTCAGGACAATCCCAAAACCGAAGGAAGAGGCAACTATAGGCCCTCCACAGAGGTACGTGGTGTGTTCATCAACAGCACTGTTGCCTTCCCCTCCAACATACCAACCTAAGGGAAGGTCCACTACGTATTTACACCCAGATCTTGTGACTTTAGGCAGCAACACTGCTGCTCTCCCAAGTGACCCCCCCCAAACAGCTGGGAATCTCCATGACCCATGAAGAATCCCTGTGACTCTTAGCGTTTCTTAATCCTTTTTTCTTTTCCACCTAAATAACAACAGGGAAGGATAGAAGGGGTTGGAAAAGGAGATAGAGACTCGTTTGCACAGTTCCACGGTCACCTCCAGACCTCTCCAGCAAGCGCCTGGAAGCGCAGCGCGCAGAGGAACCGCAGGGCCCCCGGGGCACTACGAGGCCATTCCGCGGTCCCGGCCACCACCCATACAGCTGCTGCAAGAGCCCGGCGGATACTCCCCCGCCTGCCTCTGCCTCTAGTTTCCCCGGCAGAGCAAGCGGGAAGGGGGGGGTGTCCCTCCGCACGCAGCCCCTTTGCGCCCCTCACCGTCCTCCGGGAAGAAGAGCACCAGGAAGCGTGGCGGGCTCCCGGGCTGCTGGCGGACCTCGCACTCCCCGCCACCCGATCTCTTCCGACTCTGGAAGTACATCTGCAACTTGGTGCTCAGGTTCTTCGGGGGATCGGGGCCCCAGGACCCCTCCACCAGCAGCGGGAAGGAGCGAGACGCAGCCATCCCGGCTCCGCTCGTTCTCGGGGACTGCTGGGGCCGCCCCGACTCTGGGAAGTGAACTTCGCTTCTTTCGCTTTCGTTTCCTGGAAAACCCCTCCCGGCTCTTAAGTTTCAGTCTTCAAAAGAGCTGCCCTTGGATTGCAGTCGTTACCCCCCCACCACAGCCCCCGCCCCCCGCATTCTGCTCTGGCCCGCTGCAGACAATTAACCCTTTGGGGCTGCAGTTTCCCCTGCAGGCGTCCGGGTCTCGATCCACCTGTGCATAGCGGTCCTCGGCGCTCTGGCACAGCCTGCCACTCTTGCAAACCAGGGCTGCTATCAGTAGCCCTGGGTCACTGGACCTTGAACCAACACAATGAGAGTTTCATTTCTGCCACAGGCCGACATTTTACAGAAGAATAAAATGGCTCACAAATTGTGATCCTCTCTGGACATTTGCTGTCCATTTTGGGACTACTTTCAAGGATCAATGTACTTATCAGAACTTGACCCTTGACCTTACTTTCCTTCTTTTGAGTTGTTTCCTGCTCCGTTAATATTATGCATCTAGAAACATGGGAGAAATGATAGACCCCCCCCCATTTTTGTGGAACATATTTACTAGATGACATGGGCTAGGGATGGATTCAACACCCCTGCCCTAACTAAACTCAGGCAACTTTGGGGGGCACCGGAGTTATGACACAATGGAATGAGCTCTCTGGAAAGGAACACAAAGGTGCTCCTGAAACAAATGAGAAGGGGCTCCAAGTCCAAGTGGGGAGAATCACCGAGGGTTTATTGGGAGGTGACATGTCACCTGAGGCCTATGAATGATCAAGGAATAATCTTAGAGGGTTAAGAAGGGGACAGGGTTTCTGTTGTGTGGTTTACACATGCAGAATCACTCTGAGGTGTGGTGGCTAGAGAAGAGGCAGGGAGACCAGTGAAAGGGCTTCTGAACTGTTGGATGGGGGCAGTGGGGTGCTGGCAGGGGAGGACAGAGAACAGGTAAGGTTCTAAAAAGATACTTCAGGCAGGAATAGCTGAAGGATGTAAGTGCAGAGAGAAGGCAAATATCAAAGATGATTTCAGGGGCATCCATAGACGACCCCAGCAAGTGACTGAACAATAGTTAAATCTACTACATGGACAGACTATGGGACGGCCAGAGAGGTGGGAGAGGGGCTGGGAATGTGTATATCCTTCACTCATGACAAAAAGAGTGATCTTGGGGTTGGGGTTGTGGCTCAATGGGAGAGTACTCATCTGGCAGTGTGAGGCCCTGGATTTGATCCTCAGCACCACATAAAAATAAAGGTATTGTGTCCAACTACAACTGAAAAAGAAAATAAATATTAAAAAATGATCTTCAGAGGGAGGCACCATCATTCCAGTGCTGATGATTCATCAGATCCCAGCAGTGTCTGTTGACCTGTTGGGGACCTAGCAACCATGTCTCCTGGGGAGAAGAGACAGAGGACTGACTGGAAGGGAAGGAAGAGGGAGCAGCGATTTCCAGAAGTGCACCTGTGAAGGAGAAGGAGTTAGGCAGCAACCAGCCACTGGGAATCCTGGGCAGACAGAAGCAAGTGTCCCCTCAGGGCCTGGGGGAAGGGGGTATTCTAACACCTAGAGAAGCCATGTCACGTCACTGTTCCTGGGGGATCAGGGAATTGTTATTTTGTTCCCTGGTTTTAAATATTTTTATTTATTTATGTTTTTTAAGAGAGAGAATTTTTTTAATACTTATTTTTCAATTTTCGGCGGACACAACATCTTTGTTTCTATGTGGTGCTGAGGATCAAACCCGGGCTGCACGCATGCCAGGCGAGCACACTACCGCTTGAGCCACATCCCCAGCCCCGGTTTTAAATATTTTTAAAACAGAAAAGGTTTAGGCATGAGTAAATAAATGTGGTGAGAAGAAGGAAAGGCTGAGGATACTGGCAGTGGGAGAAAGTGAGAGGGCTTTCTGATAGCATCAGAATTAGCAGCAGAAGTCTTTCCCCAGGGCATCAGCAACAAGGTGGAACCAGAGTGCAACAGCAGGTCTAACAGGTTCTGTTTCTCAGTGAAGCAGGGGGTGAGGTCTCTGAGAGCCTGCCAAAATCAAACTGCTCTCCCTCACAGGCCTGGACCTTGCATGTTGTCTTCTAATCACAATGAGGCCAAATCTCAGAACAAAGAGAACCAGAGACGTGCCAAAGAATTTACTGGATTTTTTATTCCTGATCTATAATAATGCTTTGCAGTTTCCTGATAGTTTTCTACTGCTTTCTGCTTTCTACCTGCAGATGGCGCTCTCTTCATCAGATCCAAATCACTCTGGACCTGGCAGGTGCAAGTGAGGAGGACCCAGCAGAGTGGGTCATAACCCACAGCCATACAATGGTGACTCTCTCCCAGGGTATCTGTCATCTCTGTCTCACTCCAAACCACAACCAAGTTTAGGATTATGGAACTAGGCAGTGTCTTACCTCATCACTTCATAAGGCATAGAGGAAAACCCTTATTTGTAGTAGAAATTTTAGCTGGCCATTTCTGGATCTTTCAAGGATTTATTTATCAGCAATGTGTCTTGCCACTGGAGGTCTGCTTATTGCTTCTGGGTGAACAGGGAAGGAGCCATCAGGATCAGGGTGGCAAGTCTTGAAACCATGGAAAGAAAATTCTAGAAGGAACAAACTATTGAACATCATTAGGCCCTGCAGTATTTTATCTTCTAAGATATTTTCATCCTGTTCACTTGAACCTTCCTGAAGTGTGTTAATTCTCTCTTAGTTCTCCGTCTCCTTTGGTGGCTGCCTCCTGAAACTTCCTTCCTAGAAGCAAGTGTCCCCTTATGGCCTGGGGAAAGAGGGCATTCTAACACCTAGAGCAGCCATGTCACATCACTGTTCCTGGGTTGTCTTTCCACTTCACAGATTATATTAGTATAACTCATGTCTGCATTTGGGGATTGAAGCTCCCTTTACCTACTTCACCTAAATTCCCCTTTTAGCTTCTCTACAAATGGAGAGCACTGGAGGGAAAGCATATGTAAATGGAGGAAAGGGACTGTTTTTCTGTCTGACCTGAGTTGGTGACTTGTGAGCACCTCATGCCCACCCCTCCACCTCACTGTGCTCCTCAACCTCTTTGCTCTGTTCCTCCAAAATAGGATATGGCCATAGGCCAAGGAAGAAGCACTCCTAGGAGCTCTGCCCTCTGAGGGAGTCAGCCACACAATGCCTTCCCCCTAGGCACAAGTCTTCTCCAGAAGCTTTATCTTCTTCAAACCTCTGTAAGGCTAGTCCCCAACACCTCTCAATCCTGCCAGTGCATTAATCCCTAGTGGTAACTTTGCCTAATATTAATGTAGATTCATTAATATTATAGTTGGGGGGAGTTAGAGGGTGGCTTCTGCAGAAGAGTCCAGAGTGGACTTGATTTTTCCAAAATTGTGTAAGGTGAAGAGTAAAGCAGAATAAAGATCATTCTTGCTCATCCAATAGGATCATCATTGAGTCAAACACACAGGCATAAATCTCAAGAGAAGCATTAACTCTTATAGCACTATCCAGATCATATCTAAAAAGAAAAACATACAGCATTTTACTAACACATCATATCATGCAGGGTCTCCACCAGCAACATGCTATTAAATATTGAACAATCAGCTCTCTGGAAAAAAAAAGTTTGCACATGTGTATATGTCCATTATGAATTTTAATGATATAATGATTGTATTGCACATAATTATAAATAATAATAGGTATATAATACTTTTTTTAAGAGAGAGTGAGAGGAGAGGGAGAGAGAGAGGGAGACAGACAGAGAGAGAGAGAGAGAGAGAGAGAGAATTTAATATTTTTATTTTTTAGTTCTTGGCGGACACAACATCTTTGTTGGTATGTAGTGCTGAAGATCGAACCCTGGCTGCATGCATGCCAGACAAGCGCGCTACCGCTTGAGCCACATTCCCAGCCCCGGTATATAATACTTGATTATAATTTCAAAATAGTAAATTAATTCTCAAAGAACATTTCAAAGATTTTTGCCAAACTTATCTGTAGTCAACTATGGTTGCAATTGATAATTAAGTGTAGTTCTAACAAAAATGTTGGTTGACACTTGTAATTACATTAATGGGTAAGATGAGGCTGTCTCTCCCTCTGGGAGTGGCCCATGTTCTTCCGTGAGAATATGCATTCCTTGCTTTATCCCAAATCTTCTCACTCTCAAGATGGTTGGTGTTCTCCCTCAAATATGTATTTCACTCTTTACCCAAGAAGACTTCTCTCCCTTGAGATAGCCTGAGTTCTCCCTTGAACGTGTATTTGCTTTCCTAAATAAATCTGTTGTGTCTCTGGAAAAAGTGGATAAGATGAAAATGAAACAATGAAGACATATATAAGAACTATTTTTTGTTTGTTTGGTGGCTGCTGGGGATAAAACCCATGCCCTTAAGTATGTTAGGCAAGGTCTTTCCTACTGAGCTATACCCCCAGCCATGTCAGGACTCTTATCAATGACATGACTCCTTCATTACTAAATTGGATGTTAGCTTTCAAATTCTGGAGGGATATTTCCTCAATTGTGCTTTTTACAATGTAATGGCTATAGACATAATACAATTTTAAATAATCTGCTGCGTGAACATATTCTTCATTACTTTCTGTAGTCTAGATAATAAACAAAACAAGTTCTGTTTGCCAATTCCATTGTGTAAATATTCCCATTGTGCCTAGTTTTGAATACAGAGTTGAGAAGAAATGAACAGTAGCACAGAATTATACAATACTTCTGCCATACAGACACCATAGACATTAATAATGCAAGGGCATAGATAGTAGTAAAATGTCAAAAAATTAAGAAGTGCCTTGGTGCCCAAGGTGTTTTATTCAGGGATGGTCATGTAGGGACCTTCTGCCTAACATGTACCAAAATTTCAGACTTTGAAGAATTTAAGGTGTTCAGCACAATCCATGTTGTACCAACAGTTTTAAGGCTCTGAGAACCACACTTCTAATGAGTTAAGGAACTGAGGGAACCCTTCCTTAATCTAAGTTCAGAGGCCAACCAAGGGCGACTTGCAAAGGCCTGCTGTGCTGACTCTCTTTTCTGTACA